GTTGGACACATAGCTATTGTGTGTGTTTAACCCTCTGTCTGTCAAGTTTGTGTGTGTGTGCTCTCACCGGCGCCCCCTGTGGTGGCAATGACGCTGCTGGACTGCTGACTGGCCCCCAGTGGTGAATACGCCTTCACGTAGATGGAGAAGGTGGTGGAGGAGTCCAGATTACTGAAGTCATGCTGGAACGTGTCTTTACTCACCGCCTCCTGGAGCTCACTGCTGTCCGGCTCTGAGAGACACACACACACACACACACACACACGTCAGTCTGTACGCTCAGATAGAGGAGTGCGTGAGAGAGAGTGTCTCTAAGAAGTGTGTGAGAGCATGTTTGCATATGTGTGTTTGTGTATGTGTTTGTGTGTGTGTGCATGTGAGAGAGAGTGAATGTGTGTATAAAAGAGTGGATGCATGTTCGTGTGTGTGTGGGGGGGGGGGAGGTATGTGTTTGCTTGAGAGAGTATTTCTGTGCTTGTGTAAGTACATGTATGGATGTGTGTTTGTGTGTGTGTGTGTTATTATTTGTATAGGTGTGTATACATTGTGTGTGTGTGTGTTTTGAGTGTGTCTGTGTGAGTGCATGTTTATGCATATGAGTGTGTTGTGTGAGAGAATGTCTGTGTGTGCTTGTATGTGTGTTTGTATTGGTTTGTGTGTGTGTGTGTGTGTGTGTTATACATGTAGCGTTGTGTGTTCTGTAGTTTGTTCAGTGTGAGCTTGATTTTGTGAGTGTGTGATCAGTGTGTTAGTTTGTGTTTGTGATCAGCATGTGTGAGTGTGTGTTTTTATTTGTGTGAGTGTCTGTTGTGTGAATGTATGTTTGTGTGTCTATGTGTGTGTGTGTGTTTGTGTGTGTGTATCTCACCGCCCAGTCTGCGTATATGCAGCACGTATCCTATAATGCCGTCAGACGCGTGTGCTTCCGGCTGTTTCCAGCGCACCCGCAGTGCAGTGTTGGACAGCGGTGTGACCGTCAGATCCTGCGGCGCCTCAGGGAGCTCCAGTGATTGGGAGACAGCGAGCCGAGCGCTGGCCTGATTGGTTCCTGCGCTGTTCTCCGCGATACACTGATAGATGGCCTCGTCGTCCGCCATGATGCGCGTCACAGCCAGAGTACTGCACCATAACACACACATCAGCACTGCATCACGACGGTTACTAATTACAATAATGTAAACTGATCAATCATACATTTATGGAAGTACTCGGACTACTTTTGGATTACATTTAGATTACTTTTGAGGTAAAATTTAGATAACTTTTAAGAGAATACAGTCTGACTACTTATGGATTGCACTTAGATTACTTTTATGGTAACAATCTGAATTTTTGTATTACATTTAGATTACTTTTATGGTAAAATTTAGACTTATGGTAATACAGTCTGACTACTTTTGGATTACATTTAGATTACTTTTATGATATCATTTAGACTTTTAGGGTAATGCCATCTGACTACTTTTACATTACATTTAGATTACTTTTATGGTAAAATTTAGATTACTTTTATGGTAATGCCATCAGACTAGTTTTGGATTGCATTTAGATTACTGTTTTGGTATAATTTAATTACTTTAATGATATTATTTAGCCTTACTTTTATAGTAATGACATTTCACTACTTTTACATTACAATTAGATTGCTTTTATGGTAATAAAAGCAGACTAATTTTAGATTACATTTAGATTACTTTTTTGGTATAATTTAGATTACTATTATGATATCGTTTAGACTTACTTTTATGGCAATGCCATCTGGCTACTTTTACATCACATTTAGATTACCTTTATGGTAAAATTTTGATTACTTTTATGGTAATGCAAATAGACTACTTTTGGATTACATTTAGATTACTTTTGTGGTAACCTTTAGATTACTTTTATGGTAATGCAATCTGACTACTTTTGAATCAGATTTAGATTACTTTTATTGTATAATTTAGATTACTTTTATGATAATACAATCAGACTACTTTTGTATTACATTTAGATTACTTTTGTGGTAACCTTTAGATTACTTTTATGGTAATGCAGGCAGACTAATTTCGGATTACATTTAGATTACCATAAAAGTAATCTAAATGATACCATAAAACTAATGCCATCAGACTAATTTTAGATTACATTTAGATTACTTTTTTGGTATAATTTAGATTACTTTATGGTAATGCCATCAGACTATTTTTGGATTACATTTAGATTACCATAAAAGTAATCTAAATGACACCATAAAAGTAATCTAAATTATACCAAAAAAAGTTATCTAAATGTAATCCAAAATTTGTCTGCTTGCATTACCATAAAAGTAATCTAAATGTAAAGTAAAAGTACTCAGAAGGCATTACCATAAATATAATCTAAATGATACCATAAAAGTAAAGCCATCAGCTTACTTTTGGATTACATTTCGATTACTTTTGTGGTAACCTTTAGATTAATTTTATGATAATGCAATCTGACTATTTTGAATCAGATTTAGATTACTCTTATCGTATAATTTAGATTACTTTTATGATAATGCAATCAGACTACCTTTGGATCACATTTAGATTACTGTTTTTGGAATAATTTAGATTACTTTTATGGTGATGCAATCTGAGTACTTTGTATTACATTTGTGGTAATATTTAGATTATATTTATGGTTTATATTTATGGGATTGGACTACTTTTGGATTACACTTACCTTTTTAAAGTAATGTAATCTGATTGCTTTTTGATTACACATTTAGATTATGTTTGTGGTAACAGTTACATTATTTATATGGTAATGTAATCAGACTACTTTAAATTACATTTAGATTATTTTATGGTAACGTAATCTGACAATGTTTTACATTACATTTAGATTACTTTTATGAAATATAATTGAGTACTTTTGGATTACATTTAGATTTTTGCAAATATTTTGTAAAAAAACATCCACAGGTTCTGTCTAGCCTGCAAATAATCCGTCACTCCCCAGCTCTGCTTATAGCTCAGGGAGAGTGTATTTTCTGCATGTTCTCAGGTTGTGTGTCACCTGTTGTTGTTGGTGAGCTTGACGTTGTCTCCAGGTGTAAGGATCTTGCCGTTCTTCAGCCAGATGAGGTGTGGATCAGGAACACCTTGAGCCTGACAGGTGAAGACGGCGCTGCTGCCCAATGGCTTCGACACCGACTGAGGCCACTGCAGGAACTCTGGAGGAGCTGAAACAACCCAAGAACCAAGCTTACCTCCACATTGCAGAATAAGGTGAACAGTAAAGTACTTGAATTAATCTGTGGTGGTCATTCCAAAGTTGCTATGCTAACAGAAAAACTAGAGATGTCCCGGGTCATTTGATTTTGTACCGATACCGGATCCAATACTACATTACAGCAGTTATAATACAAGCTACAATTGATTGAGTGTAGAAATGGTGGATTTATGCTGCAGGTTTTGAGCTTTTGTCCTAAACTCCCCCCATCTGTCTCTCGAAGCCATCAATCTTGACCTTGACCCCCCCACTCTCTCTCTCACACACACACAAACACACACACACACACACATGCTTCATTTCCTACAGGCCTGCTGAAATGAGGTCAGAGATCAGGGGTCAGAGGTGATCCATCACTCAGGGTCTATTATTCCTCCCCCTCCGCCTCGCTTTCTGCTGCTCTCCATCCGTCCCTCCCACTCACACACACACACACACACACACTACACAATACTGCAGTAAACATGGTAAAATACTGCACACACTCAGAGTGCCGCTGCAGTGCTGTGTTACACGCGTGTGCTTCAGTTTCAGGTCATCATGAGGGGGTTTGGGGCTTTATATTAAAGTGTGGCTCTGTTTGCGTGTGTGTTTCTGTATGCATGTGTGTTTCTGTGTACATGTGTGTGTTTCTGTATGCATGTGTGTTTTTGTACATGTGTGTGTTTCTGTGTGCATATGCGTGTCTTTCTTTAGGCATGCGTGTTTGATTGTGCCTGTGTGCATTTGAGCATTACTGTGTGTGTGTGTGTGTATGTGCATGTGTGTCTGTCTGTGTGTGTGTGTGTGCATGTGTGTCTGACTATGTTTGTGTTTCTCTGTGTATCTGCGGTGTGTGTGTGTGTGTGTGTGTTGTGTCTGATTCACAGCTGCTGTTCAGAAGCAGACTGGCTCATCAGACCAGATACAGGCTCCTCCCACTTATGCTAATGAGCCCAGAGTGACCTCATCACGACATCAGCTGATCTCAGCTCACAGCCGGTCTGCCTTATCATCTCGTTTTGCATTTCAGTGTGTGTGTGTGTGTGTGTGTGTGTGTGTGTGTTGAAATTAGACTGAAATGAGAGCAGCAGAAACACATGGGTCAGAGATGAAGGGGTGCAGGGGTCAAAGGTCAGTCAATGTCTCACTGCTCTAATAGAGAACACAGTCTGTGCTGGAAGTAAAGGTGTGTGTGTGTGTGTGTGTGTGTGTGTGTGTGTGTGTGTGTGTGTGTGTCAGGAATCATCACATCCACACACACTGATGGAGATTTAGCTTCATACAGCTTTGAAACGGACATATGGGCAGTTTACAGTTATTATGAGAAACGAGAGAGAGAGAGAGAGAGAGAGAGAGTGTGTGTGTGTGTGTGTGTCTGCAAATGTGTGTAATTGAGCGTGTGTGTGTGAGACAATATTGCTGTGTGAGAGATTGAGTATGTATGTGTATGTTTGTGTGATTGGGAGTGTGTGTGTGTGTATATCATTGAGTGAGTGTGTGTTTCTCTGTATGTGTACATGTGTGTGTTTGAATATGTGTCTTTGAAAGTGTGTGTGTGTGCTTCGTTTAGAGTATGTGTGTGTGCGTATATATGTGTGTGTGGTCATGTGTGTTTGTGTCTTTGAGAGTGTGTGGATCTCTGTATGTGTATATGTGTGTGAGTGTATGTCTTTGAGAATTTGTGTGTGTGTGTGTGTGTGTGTGTGTGTGTGTGTGTGTGTGTGTGTGTGTGAGTGAGAGAGAGAGTGTGTTTCTTTGAGACTGTGTGTGATTGTGTGTCTTGTGTACCTCTGTATA